GCGTAATAATGAGGTACTGTTGTGCTGCACTGATGAACTCTTGACCTCCAGATTATTTTGTGTAACATTTAGGACGATCTATTGTTAGTCAACATATGTCAATATTCATATGTTGTGTTTTCATTAATGTATAGTCACCTGACTATAGGAATCTTTGTGTTTTCGTTACCTTAGAATGAGACGTTTTTATCTGCAGAGGAAGCGGTGGCGGATTCCGCCATGTTTCTACAGTAGCCCAGAATAGACAAACCAAACCTTCTGTGTTTTTCACAGCCACCATAGTTTCTCCTACACAACGTTCTCATTCCCAGTTCATCAAATAAAGAAGCCAGTAGTTAGTTGGAATATGCAACTTTACCGCTAGATGCCACTAAATCCTACACACTGGTCCTTTAAGCAAACATGTCTGTTGGGCACAAATCCAAACAAATGTCATATCATCATGATTTAGTTTAGTTTTTTTTCCCAGTAAAAATGAAATGATCATTCCCATTAAATTTAATCCTATAATAATATCTGTAAAAATAATCGCAATATGCTGTTTTTACCATTTTGTGCAGCCCTCGTGCTGCCCCACAGCATACATATTAACGTGTTAAAAAAAAGACATCTTTTTTTAGAGGCTACTTTACTCATGTGGCTAACCTTTCCTTGGCAAGTGAACAGCAAATATTGAAGACTTCACATATTGGAAACTTGCCTTCTGTGCATTTACGCACAGATGAAATGCAAACTGCCACACTGGCAGTCCGGGGCAGTGTATTTTCATCACTCCTCATCTTTATTTCTCATTCCTGACATTTTAAAAACGGAGCTCATATTCTGGAGCCTAAAAATTAAACAAATGTTTGTTGAATAAAATGTGCCCACAGCTGCAGGACTTCGTCCCAGACAAACACTGATTGGATCCATAGGAGCCATTAGTTTTTAATATAACCAGGAGGGGCGCACAGGGTGCCACATTTCTGAGTGCGAGTGCAGAGAAAATGAAAACAACTTACTACATGATTAAGGCTGGTGCTGGCCTAAATTGTTACTTTAAAAACTAGGTTGCTCATCAGAGTGTTAACATTACAACGCTTCTGACCCTGTCAGCTTGAAAAATGAGTTTAGTTGAAAATTGTAATTATTTTTAGTCTAGTCTTTTGGACAAGCATTTGTATCAGTCAATTAGATGCACCAGCAGTGGCACACCTTCCCTTCTCCTCACTTCATCTGCCCGCTCACAGCCCACTTTAATTATCTGCGAGCAGGATCTCCTCCACCTTATTAATGCTTGTAAATTCTGCCCAAGTACAAGAATCGCCTTTGGCTGTGAAGGTGGGATTTTTCACCTTTTTTTTCTGAACTAACTTTGCAGGGGGGGATGATCTGTGGGTGGACAGCAACAGCTGCAGCTGCACTGTGAGCACAGAAGTGGATGGCATACGATGGAGAGAGGGCCTTTTCTTAATAATGTGCCACAGGAAGAGCGTGGAACCGCGCAGTTCAAAGCATTCACACTCGCCCAGGTCGGTTTGCAGCGTCGGAGCCGACCTGCTGAGCTGTGCTGGAGGAAATCTATAGAAACAAATTTACTCCAAGTCTGGGCATGTGCAGAAGATAACAGGCTTCAATTACAAAGCTCTTTCTCCTAATTGAAAAAGCAGCTAATAGCTTAAGTGCTCGCTATCTGGGGTAGCTAAAATAATGTGCAGGGGGCTCACTGGGTTGGGACACTTACAGTATGCCTCTGGCTGTGGGTTTGAACCCCGGAGCGGATACATCTCTTTCCTGACACTCTCCACTGTGTGCCATTCAATAAAACTGAAATGCCTCCTCATATATCAGGGGAGATTGTGCTGCATTGCCTGTATTGTGATGCAAACGGTGCTACACACCATGGCTGCACAGCATGGGCTTCTTGTACTGCAACCTACAATCAATCCTGACACAAGTTACTAATAAACACGATACTGTATCAGATTGAATAACGCAGCCGATTAAACATGCAGAAAAATCCGGCTGTTCAAAGTGTCAACACACACACAGAGGAAAAAAAAAATCCCATCACATTTTTAACTACTGAGGCTGCTCCCTTGAGCTTTAGAGGGCATGGAATAACAAAGCTGAGGGAAGTCTCGGTTCCTTACCTCTGATGGGCTATTAGTTATTCTAGCTAGCAGAAGCCCCATTAGGTCTGCCATTTAATGCTCCCATGCCACATTCTCACATGAAAGCTACAAGATTGATAAGCCGACCATCTCACCTCAAGCTTCTCTCGCGTTTGAGAAATGCTCTGCCGCAGATAATCTGACAAAGGGCTGATTTAGCTACCTGTGTACCATCGTGGCAAGTGACATTACTGAAAACAATGAAACGTATTTGCGCCGGCCTCTCCGGTGACTCCAGTGAAAGGACACAGCAAGAGTGTGAGCGGCGCTGCAGCACAATCCACTGACTTAAAACTTATAGAATGATTTATAGGCTCCACGTGGAATATAGGAAATGAGCTGTGTGGCAGTTTGAGATAAAACTTTGTCTCTGAGCTGAGCTGACAGGCACAATGGAGAAGAAAGATGTCTCCTGTACTTCGCTGCATGTCTGCTCAGTCCGACAAAAGGTGCAGCTAAGTTTCCTGTGACACGACAACAACATGTCCTGTTAATCACACTTAACCATACTGCCAAATGGGGGGAAAAAAGCTGGTGGACAAAGGAAGATGGATGCATGGCATTAAGGAGGAAAAAAAGGCACCAAAAAAATCTGCCTAATCAAGCATGAGCAAACTGATTAGTCCTTCTGTCTCAATCCCTCTGCGCCGTACAGCGGGTCAGACTCAGGCGTGTGAAGGAATTTAAACTCTTTTGAAAGTTTCACTTCTTGAAGACCAATAGAGATAATACACTGTAAAACCTGATGAGTCAGCTCAACTCAAACTGTTGGGAGTTAATAAGGCAAACGGTTACCTCAAACAATTTAAAAATAAATGAAAGAAATATTCAATTTGAGTACATGTAACAAGTATTTATTGTAACTTGATAAATTAAGCTAATGGTACCAATTCTATTCAGTTAACTGAACTTAAAAGTAGTAAATATATTACACTCTGTAAAACTTCCATGAAAGTGTAACTACACCCTTCTGTCCTGCTAGCTCCCTCCATTAAAATACATCAAAGACCTGCAAAGGACAGTGACTCGATCGCAGTGATTGACAGACTGACCACAGCAGTGGGAGAGTCCACTGGAGCTTTTACAGTCACTAGAAGCACATTCATGGGCGTCTATAGAAGCTTCTGTGTGGTACCCATGTTGGAGCTAAGCTAATGGCTCAGAGAGGCCAACTCTCTGGTGTGTGTGTGTGTGTGTCTGTGGGGGAACAGATTTTAATACATTTGTTAATAATGTCAATTTTAAAAGCAGCAACGACGTGTTTCATGGCAGTATAGTCATATAATTCAGTTTATAGCTCAAAAACCATTTCAATCACTGAACTCTTTCATTCCTTTTTGGAAATATCAGATTGTTTATTTAAACCAGTATGAATATTACTTACTAAAACGCAGGCTTTTGAATCACATATTAATGACAAATTATTAATTTGATCATTTGATACTTTGGTGCTCGTGGTTTTTTGTGACATTCACAGATTGAATTGTGGAGACAGAAGTTTAAACATTTATATTTGTGTAGGTAATCTAAGCAGCTTAAAACTCACTCAAGCTTTAAGAGATTTTATACATCCAAAGAATGTATATTAAATAATTGATACCTGCTTTTATTTGTAAAAACATGGAGCCACAACAGGCTAGTAAAGTAGACCCTGCTTCTAATTAGGACCCTGCTTTTAATTGATGTGTTACAGTATGCAGCATTACTCAGTACAGAATTTATGGTAATATTACCACTTAAGTTGAATTAAGTCCTCCACTAAAGCAAATTATGACATTACCTGTCAAAGCATTTACAATTAATCAATTATCAAAATGGTAGGCAATTAATCCAATTGTTACTGCTGTAATTAAGTTGTTAACAAAGACCTGCTTATCTTTAGGTGACTTTACACTTTGGGGGACCATTAAGAATTATCTGAATGCATATTTGATGTTTAAATCTGATGATTTAAATAAACTGAAAAAAGTTTAATGGCAATGTGTGATTGAACACTTTTTAGAGGATTAAGTTGTGTCAACTTACTTGTTTTAATAAGATATGCTGTTGGGTTTTACAGTGAGCATAATGCAGTTTGTTACTGCAGCAGTACACAAAAGCCAGACAGAAATTGAGCCCAAAAACGTAATTTATCTTTTATATGGCTGCAGGCCTTTAGTGTTCTCCAGCCTGCGGTGACTGTTTGAACTTTAAGATTTTAAAAAACAAATGAGTAAAATCTTAAGTACACGATTGCTAGAGGCAGAAAAGGGAGAACGGGATATATGATCAGCTGGTGTGAGTGCAAATATTAACATTGATAACAGCAACAAACAAATATGAAAACTCACACGACTGGTGTGTTTGCCACTACAGCTGTTGTAGCAAACGCACAGGATAGGAGAGGACCACCTGCACAGTGACTTGATCCAATACATTTTTATCATCCTGTTCTGGACAGCAAGCCATTTGTGAATAAATAACAGACTGGCTGTTAATACACAGATTCATCGAATGAGCTCTTTTATGTCAGGGATGAAAGATGAGCCCCCACTTTGTTTATCGTGCATCTTACTGTATGCAAGTTATCTGGGAAAAGGGAGCTGCCACTGCAGTTTCGGCTAATGGGAATCATATTTTAGCAATAAAACTGCATGATTCAGGACAACAGCTGGGTAATCATATGGAACTGAACAAACCCAGCATATTGCAGAACAAGTCACCATGCACCGACCTTTACTTCCTTATCCCAGAACAGACAAGAGCAGAGGAGAAAAAAACACAAAGTATTTTTCTCCGCAGATTGTTAGAAAATTTACCTCTCATGCCTCGCAGTGGAAATGGATTTTTGGAGGGCAACGGTCATACCTCGCATTCCCTGGAGCCTGAGATGGTGTATGTGTAAGGTCCTGTCCCATTAACCAGCACATCCATAGTCTCTGAGTGTGAAGGCTTGTAGTCCACATAGTACTCTTGCAGTGGTGAATTAAGGGAGCGCTCAGTCTCCCGTGCCTTTTTCTGACGTTTTTTAACCGCCGAGCGCTGCTGAAGCTGCTTGATGCTGCTGGGATAGCGCTTCCATGAGACGTAGATAACCAGTAGAATTATAGCCACAGATAAGAGGAGGGCCACGCTACCGGCTATGATCTTGTGGAAGGACACATACTCAGTGTCGGGCAGGGGGATGGTGGGGGAGGCCTCGGAAGGAGTAGGGGAGACTGTCCTGTTCCAGATTAGCTTCTTATCCACCACGGGCTGTGTGGGAAGAGGCTGCAGCTCGGGATGAAACACGGGAGTGAGGGGCGATGTCGTTGAGGGGATGGGGGTGGGTGTTGCTCTACAGATGTTATAAGTCTCCACCACATCAGTCACCTTCTCTCCTTGTGCCTCCTTTGGGCCGGCACAAATCATAGTGGACTCCTTGTTGCCCTTAAAGGCCTGCAGCCAGGCCACCAGGGGACATATGTTGGGGTTACAGAACCACAGATTACCTGCCAGACTGATGGTGGTGAGGGAGATCCAAGCCTCCACCGTCTGCTGGGACACATTGCTGAGCTTGTTGGAGTCCAGGTTAAGAGTCTGCAGGTTGGGGAGGCATTGAAAGGTACTCGGGTCCAGCACCTGGAGCTCATTTCCCGAGAGGTCCAGCTTTTGCAAGGAAGTCCACATCCACGGCAGGCCCTGGGTCAGCAGTTTGATACGGTTCCACTGCAGATAGAGCGCCCTCAGGTTGGTCAGACGGGGGAAATGAGCAAAGTTTATCTTTGAGAACTGGTTGTGCTCCAGGTGAAGCTCGATAAGCTTTAGGAGTCCCGCAAAGGCGTTACGTGTGAGGCTCCGTAGCCTGTTGTAGCCAATATCGAGAAACTCCAGGTTGCGACAGTCGAGGAAAACTCGCATTGGGACTGTTTTCAAGGAGTTTGACCTCAAGTGTAAACTGAGGAGTTTCCGTAGACCCAGGAACTGATTCGGCTGGAGAAACTGCAGCTTATTGTAGGAAAGGTCAAGATTACGCAGATTGGGAACATCGTGGAAAGTATTGTTTTTCAGCTGTGTGATCTTATTGGAGCTGAGGATCAGTTCTTTGAGCCGCCGTATCCCGTGGAAAGCCTGGCCGTCCACGGCGTTGATGTAATTGTGGTCGAGGTAGAGCCACACGAGTTGACTCAGTCCTGCGAACTGGTGGGCTCTGAGGTTGGCCAGGCTGTTGTAACGCAGGGAGAGGCCCTGCGTGCCTACAGACACATTGCTTGGCACATCGCGGAAGGCATTGGATTCGCAGTATATTATTTTCCCATCACATCTACAGCTCTGGGGGCAGGGACGCTCACGGATGCCGCTCGGAGCAGCAAGCAGCCAGACGGGCACCACCACTGTGAACACAAGCCATCTGAAAAGCACGAGAAGTCCTGCAGACACAGAAAAGTGAAGACTTAAGAGCATAAAACATGTAGAAATGAAGACAAATACACACAGTGTACAGCAGAATAAATAATAACAGAAATGAAACTGAATCGGGAACCAAACAGTGTCACCCACACTGTTCTGATGCATTTGTCAACACAGGAGGTTGTTCGCAGCCTACTTCATTTACATCCCTGTGGTCATGGCACATCTATCACACACTTACATTCATTATCACAGTCAAAGTCATGTTCTTGAGACACTGGAAAGGTGATTGATCACTACATGCATCAGGCATTATCCGTCAAATAGTTGTTGAGAGAGAAAAAAACATCTTCAGATCCTGAAGCCTGCAGTCATCACTCATAAACCACAGGGGGGGCGAAGACACCAGCAACATCAGCTTTAAGTGAAATAAAGGCAAACCACTAAAGACTTTGCGCAGAAATGCAGACCACAAGTAGCTTGCGGAACAGTGTACCTACCCATATTTGCGCGGTGTCGGCTTCTCCTCATGTTTCAGGGCTCTCTGTTGCCGGTCCACATGTTAGACGCACTCGGCGTTTGGTCCAAATAGTTGGACACGCACCCAGGACGCCCGTCTTCACGGAGAATATACGCACTTTGCGCCGCAGCCAGACCCGCTTTGCGCACGGCCGCACACCTGTCGGAGATTTGAGTAGCTCCAGAAGGTGTGCACCAACCTCTCTCTGCCTCTGTTACCGCACAACATCAGCCTGATAATGCATATTTCTCTCCCACCTTACAAAGCCCTTGAATGGACGCGCTCAAGCCTGTAGTCTCGGGAGGATGACAGTGAGCAGAGCGCGTCTTTGGGAGGCTATAAAATACATCTTAAACACCGAGTCGACAGTTGTTCAATCTGGGTTAAGTGGCAGAAAAGACGCAGGAAAACCGACCAAGTCCAGAAATTTGAGAGGAAAAAAAACCCCAAACTGTGGTCCAAAGCCGACAAGTTGGATGTATCCGGATTCAGCTGTGGACAGCGGAGGGAAAAGGCGCAGTCTGCTGTGGATCAGACCCGTTGACCGTGGCATCAAGAATAAATCAGTTGTATAGCAACAGGAATGATGTTGGTGGAGGATTATACTGAGCTCACTGGTGCTGGTTTCAGGACTTGAGATGCCCTCTCCTGGTCACTGAGTGACTCTCCGCAGCCCACACCACCAGTAGACTTCATTGTCCTCATGAACAGAGCCTGCATATAAATGCTCTGCTCCTCCACTGCCAGTCAAACTGCACATATATCTCATGCAACACGTTCAGTTTGTGAGATTAAATGCAAAAAAATATATAAAGTTTGTCACTTTTATGACCTAAATTCTGACTACAGGCTCACATGACAAGAAGAAACTCATTATACAGACAGTTAGCTCTGCAGGGGACCCAGGGGGAGCTTCACAATATGCTATTTCTTGACATGTATTTTTATTTTTCTGTATCTTTATCATCTTGGATTATGTGTAAAATGAGGCTGTTATTGATGTGTATGTATATCATTAACTGACAAACAAAGAAATAAACAAGTGAGTTCCCCCAAAAGCTTTTGTGTTCTGTTGATATATATAAGCTGTTGATATATATTATATATATATATATATATATATATATGTAATAATATGTTGTCGGAATATTATTACTGATGCATTAATGAGCATTTTGGATGCTGCAGCTGATATTTATTTTCTTTAATTTATGCCTTTTAATACAGAATGCATCATATTTTAGAAATTCATTACACGTTTTGTACAAATCTTAATCTGCAAGTAACTATATTAAATATACAATGTAAAAAGTACATAGTTTTTCTCCAAAATGCAGTGGAACAGAAGGACTGTAACATACTTTATGTGATAAAAACCACCTGAACCACATTGTTAAGGTGGCTGGGAAGGTGTGAGGTGTCCCACAGACCCTCCTGATGGCTATGACAGGCCTGTACTGGACTGTATAAGCCAGCTCTACCCTCGGGCTGTTAGAGTACCAAGACTCAAGTGCAATAGGAGTAAAACCTCCTTTGTTCCCCGTGAAATAACCCTGCTTCTTGTGCTAGTGTTTAGCTAGTGTTTATTTTAGCACCTTATTTGCGTATGTGTAATCTCAGCATCTGGGATCATAAAATGTACTTTAAAAAGGAATTTAATTACGTTACTTGAGTAAATGTACTTAATTACTTCCTCCACTGGTAGTTTTCTGTTGTGGTGCCACCTGCCGATAGTTTCCTGCATTAATTGCAGTTTTATGTCGTGCAGTACCTGACGCAGTATCAGCAGTATGTGGCCGGTGCTGTTTCTGATTATATTGCTGGTCTGCGAAGCCGCAGTGTTGGCAGGAGCTGTAGTGAACCCCCGCTGACCTCAGAGGACCCCCAGTGGTTTTAATATGATTCTTAATTAGTGCTTCATAAGCAGGTATAGGCCTATAATGGAAAGGTCAGCTTGTTAGGCCTAAGTTTGAGTCACCATGAGAAACAGTAACAAGCAAAGAAAAACAATGTGTATTGTCTTGTATTGTGTTTCTATAAGCAGGGGCGTAGCACAGAATTCTGCACCCGGTGCACAAACATACTATATGGGCCCCTCTGCACATGAGGCCCTGTATTCAGTCCCTTTTCACCCTCAATCCTACAGCTATAGGAACCAGATGTTGACCATTTCTAGTAAAACATTCAAACATAATATCTAATAATACAACCTACAACTGGCTCCTGGTCCCGTCGCCCTGAAGGTCAGATCCTCTAACCCGCCCTCCGACCCCAGAGTGTCATTCACACTCACAGATACTTCTTCTGCCTTTTAACAGGTAGTTTTTCCTTGCCCCCATTGCAAAGTGCTTGCTCATGGTGGTACTGTTGGGTCTAACTTCTGTTATGAATTGGCGCTATTCAAATAAAATTGAATTGAATTGAATAGATACCAAGATGGGGAGGAAACAAAAGGGAATACAAAATAATAAAATAATAAAATAAATAAAAAAACATTAAAAAACTAAAATAAAAATAAAACTATATTAAAAGAGGGAAAAATTAAAAATGAATTAATACAATGATATAAAAGAAAGGAAAATAAAATAATAAATTAATAAATAAAAAATAAAACTATACTAAGAAAGAGGGAAAAATTAAAAATAATAATACATTTAATTAAATATAAATAAACAAAATAAAAATCACTAAAATAATATAGAAATAATAGTGATAAAATATATAATGCAGAATAATAATGGGAAGAATCTAATAACTGAGGGGGTGTCAGCTCATTTGTCTGTTGATTGTTAATAATCGGGGTGTAAATATGTTCTAAAAAGTGTTGCCAGGTTCAAACAAACAGTCAAACATTTCTAAATCTACATACTTACATGCTTTCTTATTAATATTATTATGTTCATTATCTGATTTAAAACCTTTGACTGGTTGGATCAGACAACAACAGATAGAAATGTGTTTATCTTTTATTTATTTGGTTTTAAATATAATTTTTAAAGCTCCTCTGGGACTTTTCCCCCACTCATTGTTGCGTGTTGACACTGAAATGCTTCATGCGTAAACAAAAGGTGCTTTAAAGGCCTCATAATGGGGACTTTGAGTCGAGGTCAGAACCATCACTCCTAATGGGTCCCTCTGCCCCTGTACTTAATGAGTGGCGTAATTACCTGTGATGGACATTAACGAACATTTGACCTCAAGTTGCGGACAGTTTGTGACGCAGAGAATCGGCAGAACCAAAAATAAAAGTAATGCATCTGGCACCTCGGCAGAAGCCACTGATTTAATTTCCATTGTTAGATCAATCACCTAACTGGAGTTGAAGGACGGGGCAGGAACCTGAACACACACATAGCAAGGTGAGTGGAAGAAATACACTGTGGATATAACATCCTTCAGGACACTGTATCTAAAGATTTTATTGGACAAAACTGTTAAAACATGTCAGTAAAAGATTGTAAAAAGTTAAATAAAGTTTATGTAACCCTGAAATACAGTCATATTTCATGGATAAACTGTATTTAAATGATGTTTTGTAGGTATTTATATGTAATAAAGTATTATTTTCATAAGGAAAAGCTGTTTCTTTTAATGGTAAAAACTTGTATTAATACAGTAAAATATAGAATAACAACAGGAAAATCAACATTATTATTATCCTTTTACCATAATTTTAGAATAGTGTATAAATGAAGCATGGATGACATTTGTTTCAATAAATCTGTTTCAAAATTAAGATGAAAGATAAATATATACACTTTTAAATACAAAATAAATTGATTAGACTTAAATTAAAACATGTCACAAAGCATTTTACCTGGTATTTCTTATCTATTTGTGACAAATAATTCATTTAAATTGAAGGTGTTCAAAAATATTGTTATTTTTGTCTCTACTTGCTTTTCAGTGAGTCCTTTATTAGAATGTTGCAGCTGCTCTTCCTGGGATCCACACAAAACATAAAAAATAGATAAGACACTAATATAAAAAACTCCACTAACACTTTTTATTATACACATTCTCATATGTATTTATATATGTGTTTATTCCTCCAGCTATGTTTGTAGTGCATCTGAATGATTGTTGTATTTCTTTGTTTTATTCATATTTATATTTATATAGCACCGTTGGAGAAACGTGCACTCTGTTTGTGGAAACAACAATAAACAACCTTGATACACTGAATTCATAAGCACTGAATGTACATACACAGTGAAACCGACAATGTCTTTATATTCCTCTATAAAAACAAAGAAAATGTACAAAATGGGGCTACAGGACTGTAAACTGTTGCTTCTCTTGTTTTATAAACCTTGTTTTATTGTATAATTTAGCAATCACAGCAAATACAACAGTACATTCATCATTATATAACTGTAGTTAAAGCTCCACGACGACCGCAGCATCCGTAGTGTGTGCATGTTCTCAGGGCTGAGAGGTCAAAGGTTGCAGCAGGAGGACTCGGCTCGAGTAGCATCTAGAGCCACAGAGTGTTACGTGTCCTGAGGAGCCTCGTGTGCCGACTTCACAACAACCGCGGTGATAAGGGTCGAGCTTCTACCAGCCTGCGGGATGAGAACTATCAGAAGAGGGTCGGACCGGCTACATTTTCTCCCCGCAGATACAGTGCCAGGTGCAGGTGTCCCATGGGATAGAAAGGAGAGTTAGATTAGATTGATGCACGTAGTCGTAGGTGCAGGTTGGGGACACGTGTTAGAGGGTTTGGGTCTATATTATATCACCCGACAGGAGTTAACCTTCAGAACTGGGTTGGCGTTACACGTATTATGCTGATCTTGTTCTCCTCCAGCAAGCCTCAGTAAATTCTGCTGTGTTAGTCATCAAGGTCTCCTGAATTCTTCATCCAGTTCGAGTGGTTCATCTTCTTCACACCCAGAAAGGGCAGAGCAAACACTGGCTCCACATAGTTTTAGTTTTTCTCCTTTAAGCTTGGAAGGAGAGGGTGAAACGAAGGAGTTGCAATCAGAGAGTGACATATTTTAGAACTTTTTATACAATTCTTTGTCCGTATTATGTATTTTTTAAATATCTTTTAACAATTCTTTGACAAATTCAATGTTTTCTTGTATTAGACAATTTACTTTGCAGAGATATAAACCTACTGTATAGGTTTTTTAAGTTTTCTTACAACTCTTAAAATCAAGAAGGCCTCACAACCCCCAGGTTGGGAACCACTGCTTTAGAATGAGCCACATGTATTTAAGGAAGCGGCTCCTCTTCTGGTGGAGTCCGCCATGTTTGTACAGTAGCCCAGAGCAGACAAACCAAACACTGGCTCTAGATAGGGGCCTTTCGTGTTTAAGTTTCACGTTCACTCCTCCTGGTTGCAATCTGTTATTTTATTTATAAGAATATACCGCTCACGGTCTCTTTTTTCTTTATCTACAAGTCAAAGCACTGGTCATTTTACTGTGTATATTCTTCTGAATCTGATGTATGAAAGTGAACATCCAGACATTGTTATGAGAAGCTTTTATCTGTGGTTTCATTCTGCTCTTTAACAATCGCAGCACGTCTCGCACAATCAACTGTTGATGTAAGTTCCTTGTGGTCTGTACATCAATTATGTTGTCGAACAAATCTGACGTGACCCACTTTCACATTTCATCTGGCTTTCTTTTTGTGGGGGTGGTGGGGATTTGCCGTAAGTGGCAACGTGAGGAATGCAGAAATAC